TCCCCAGCTATTATATAATGGTAGGTACGATGTAATGATATCCAAATTGCAAAAGCGTCTTCAATATGCAGCTCTATCCTTGGTGGAACCTTCGAGTTTCTCTCGGATAGGATCGCATATTGGGCGTGACAATACATGACCTTATCCATCGCACCCCCCACCCGCAGCCAGTTAGTCATTCCAAACGCAAGCATCTCTTTCTCCACTCTGTCTTGCCGTTGCCGGTGTCATGGCGTCGTTCGGCACCACCCGACGAGGTCGAACGGTGTCGAGGACCTAATCTTCCTTGTTGCCCACGTCGTCCATCCCCGCCTCGAAGTTCATCGGCATCGCCGAGCAACGCTACCTCGAACTACTTCCTTGTGACCACCGCCCACTCCTTCCTCCGCATCCAACATCGTCCTCGTCTTCGTCGAACTCGTCGCCCGCCGATGCCTCCGCCATCGACCTCGGCCTCGTCCAGCCTGTCGTCCGACTTTGGCCAGGTAAGCACACCTCCCTTCTCTCTGTTAATGGTGATTTTAGTTGTTCTCATTATTGTATTTGTAGATCTGCAACATTTTATTAGTGTAATTAAAATTTGTTGCATGATGTAACATTGAATCTTCGTAAGTAGATGTCTTAAATTTGAATGCAAGTGCTAGACAAAATGTACTACATATGGATGAACATATAGTACAGCATTTTATTAGTATAGTTAAAGTTTGTTGTGTGATGTACCATTGAATCTCCAGTAAGTAGATTTCTTAAATTTAAATGTGTGTGCTAGACAAAATGTACTACATATGGATGAACAAATAGTACAATATCATTTTCATGCTGTAGGTATTCATAGTGAGTGCCAATGTGTTTGCGAAGCGTGGTTTAAGTTTAAGTTGCTTATTTTTTGGTACTTAATATGTCCAATTTCTATCAAAGGTCATGCCGTTTTTTATGTAAATTTGTTACTTTTTTATGGACGAGCTACTTATGAAGACACGTAAATATTTTATCTAAATGTCAACTTGTTTAATGCAATTTAGATGGAGAAGCCGAGACGCCTCATTAGGACTCCTACACCCATAGATGGAATTCCTACTGCCGTAGACATCGTCACGGGGGTGGATCAGTACACGGAGATCGTGCTCGCCTATGTCGAGAGTGCTCGAGCAGCCATCGACAGCGCTCAGGCATATTTTAAGAGCGCTAGAGCAGTCGCTGAGAGTGCTAGAGCAGCCGTTGAGAGGGCGCAAGCAGCCACCGAGAGCGTGCGAGCAGCCGTCGAAGCTGGAAGGACCACCCAAGCCGAGATCACGAAGATAATGGAAGGCGAGGATAGCTCATGATGGAGCTGAAGTTTTACTTCTGAACAACTAGTGCACTGCCTTCATGTGTCTATATGATTGATGCGTGTGAACTTAATTTTTAAGTTGCTATGATGGAGCTAAACTTTTGCTTCCGAACTACTAGTGAACTGCAACTTGGTCATTGGTATCGCCTATGATGCTATGAAGATTGTGACCTAGACTTTGCTCTATGTGATTGGATAAGTATGAAACTGACTTGTTAAGTTGTTTATTTATCTTCGTAGAGGAAGTGGAACTGGTATGTGGTGTACACCGGGAGGAATCCAAGAGTTTACGATTCATGGGAGATATGTAAGGAACAAGTGGACGGTTGCAAGAACAGCTGTAAAAGGATACATAAGACTAAAAAAAGAAGTTGATGATCATTATGCCAACTACGTCCGCAAAGAGAAAATCAAATATAAAGTATGCAAGATCGTGTGGACAAGTAGACGAGTAAAGAATTTGATTATCTTTATCTAGTTCATTGTCATTATGATGTTGTTGTCATCATGAATTCTTATATGTATGTGTACTAACGATGCGATGTGAGTTGTTGTACTCTAATGCGTACATCTATTTGTATGAAGTTTAGATTATTGTTATGTTAAATGTAAGGTGTATGATCACTTATGTTACTTGTATGTTGTAATGTGTATTGGATATTGTTTGTTGGAAATTGGCAGGGCTGGCAGTTGAACAAGTAGTTGTGGCGGGTGCCCTAGAATGCCCGACACAACTAACAATATAAGCAGTGGCGGGCAACGTAGCTTGCCCGCCACTGCAAAGACTACCATTGGCGGATGCGTGAACGTCACTGATGCCATTATAGTAGTGGTGGAAGGTCAGTGGCGAGTGCCTCTGGGAGCCTAACCCGCCATTGCTGGACTTTTTACGCTCGCAAATGCTAGGCATTCCTGGAGTGTGTTTGTGAACGGATTGAGCATAGAATTACATGGCTCCCAATCAGGACCTAAAATGTCATGATAATTTCTACAGATGGCAAGTGGGTGCTCTATTCATGACTAGTTGCTTGTCTTTTCTGTCTCCATGAGATGGACAATTAGGCGTTGTGCACTTTTTCAAGGATACGTCAAAGGTTCGAGATCATATACAGAAAATGTCTAGAAAGGCAGATAGTTTTACAACTTAGCCATGTCTAGCTTAGCCAATGTTTGACATGCGAATGACTCACTACTAGCCCACTCATCTACTCTAATCGGAAGCGATCCCGCCTTGCACTCCCGCCTTGCGCAACAGTTTGGTCATCCACCAGTCTTGCCCTTCTAAATCGATCTTCTTGAAAAGTTCACTCGTGGAAGGAGTCACTCCATTGAACACAACATCATTCATGTGCTTCCTCAACATCCACGCAACCAGCGCAATCAAGGTTCATGTCTCCAAATTGAGCTTTGGTTGTGGATTTATGGAGGTCCCCCATTCCATCATACTGGCATCCACACTTTGGTAGCCATGTTGGTTTGTCCCAGTGGTCGAGGATGGTGAGCTACACTTGCATAGCTTAGACACAGCCATGCAGGATGTGGTTGATTGTTTCCGATGCTTGATCACCGAATGGACAAGCCGAAGGGTATGATAGCTATCGTCGCACAAGCTTGTATGCCATCCAACACCTCTTCCTAGCCGCCAGCAATGCAAACAACTTGCAGGTCGCTGGCGCCCTCGACCGCCAGATTCGTGTGTCTCCATTGGCCTCCTCTCTCTCCCAGCAAAGAACGCCCGAACACCCGGTAAGCCAATCATGCCGGGAAGCATCTGTTTATCTCCCAAGCCCAGACTAGCTTGTCTTCAATACCATCCAGGAGCTCAATGTGTTAGGTTCTGTCCACGAGCTACAAGAACTTGCCTAGTGCTTGAGGGCACCTGCTAGGCGACACTTGCCACCATCCATCAACAATGGCTTGTTTCGCCGTCCTCTCCCATGCTCTATTCTTAACTGCCGCGAATAAGTTTGGCAGGAGGTCTTGGATTCGCTCTTTCCACAACCACCAATCTGTCCAAAACAGTGCCACCTCTCCATTTCCTAGCGTGCACTTGGTCGCCACCTTGTAGACCCGCAGGCGTTGTGCACTACATCCGTGAATCTTTTGAGAATTTTTGAAGCATCATTTCATACTGGACCCAACGCCCCTACAGGAATACGAGTGTTCCGCCAAACATCGAATGGTTTCACAATAATAAGAACAAGTACAAGAATTATATAGCTTTTTTGCACGTAAGAGAATAAAAGAACATATATAAAATCATAAGAATTTGACAAGCATCAGAATATGTGATAAAATAATATTACAAATGAACATTGTTAGTCAATGGGTGTGCGCCAAATATAAATCCGTTACTGTACACGGCAACCTTGTTCTGCATTGCCCAGCAATCTAAAGTTAAGAGATATTCTCTGCAGGGGCAAAAAATAGTGCAATATTAAAACATGATATCTCTCATAAGGTTCCAATGCAAATTTAGCCTTGAAGCTAACCTCCTGAGTATCACGGAGACGTAATCTTTCCCTAATAATAAAGCACGGATTCACAATACGCTTCTTCCCATGAATTTACGCTTTCAGTTTTTTTTTCAACACGTCCATATTTTTTTTCTATATATGCAAGGTGGTACTAATCTATTTATACCTTTTTGCCAGATCACGTTCATTTTTTCGTCAAAATAAGAAGGCTAAAAAAAATTGTGCGTCCGGGATTCGAACCGGAGACCTCTTTCTTGCATCGAAGGCGCAATGCAATGACCAACTGTGACAGCTAATTGTTGTGACTGGAGTCGAGTTGTCAAATATTTCTATAAGCTCTCGCACGTGTAATTTAAAACAAAAATGAGGCTAGCCAACTCACCTTCAGGGAGCTCCCCCGGATTGGGCTTCTTTGGCCGTCCGATCGGGCCAGGTCTGGTCAACTGAGCTATCTTGACCGTCTGATCTTCACTGCTGATGAATTTCGTTTCTACCGTATGGTTTTGTTCGTTGTCCAATGACCTGTGGGCTCGTCGCAAGCCTATATTGGCTGGGTGAGGCGCCCCATGTGTAAATTGTTCACCCAATCCCCTCCCTCCCGCGCGCCGCACACCATGGGGCATGGTGCACAACCCACTCCGCCGGCACTCGTGCGCCCAATCCTCTCCCCCGCAAGAACCCTAGCCCCCTGTCGACAGCCGCCACACCCCTCGCTCCTCCTAACCCGACTCCACGCTCATTTCCTCCTCTTCCATCTTGCACATCGGTCGCCCCCTTACCCTCCCGTCCCTCCCCTCCCCTCCCCTCCCCTCTCCTTCCGCATTTCATCCATTTCGGGCGAGCTTCTCCGGCGGCGATGGCGACCGGCAGGCAAAGGGTGACCCATGGATCTGTCCAGGAGATAGAAGATGAGAGGGAGAGAGAGAAGGAAGGATATGAGGGAGAAAGAGAGAGGAAAGAGGAGATGGAGGTCCTGCTGCGGGCGGGAGAGGGCCACGGATCGGCGTTGGCCTTCGCCGGGGCTTGATCCACTCCTAGGTCCTTCCTATTCTACTTCTCCCCACATCCACAGAGTATAAGTCATGTAGCATGGGGTCGACGACGGGGGCTGGAAGCCAGGAGGGCTGGCCGAGGAAGAAGGCGACAACGTGTGAGTGGCAGAGGTCATCTCTCTGGCCATCGCCTTGTCTCCTTCACAGCGCATGGTGCAGCAGGCTGGACGGGTGGCGGGGGCGACAGTTAAGGCCACGGACGCAGCTTGGAGAGCTATGCGGAGGTCTTGACCAAATATTGTCTCTTTCTCCATGCGGCCTCCTCCCCTCGGCTCTGTATTTGTCGGTGAGGTATGCCATGTGGCTTGTTCACATTGCCTTTCCTTCTTTTTTCTTCTTCTAAGGCAATGAGGGTATGCCCCATCTTCTGCGGCCTCCTCTCCTAAGGCATATATTTTCTTTGTCTATGTGATTATTTGGGAATTTTAGCTCTATGCAGCCATTTCCCTCGATTAGTTTCAGAAAATGGCGGCAGCAGTAGGTCGAATGGTTGAAGTAGGAAGTCAATTTGGTTAGGATGCATCCAATCATTTAAAATGATGATGCAATCACAAAATGATGCATCTGAGCTGCTCTATCTGATTGTATTTTAGTAAGACGCTGTGATTTTATAGACCATGTAAATGAATTGCTTGAGGAATGTGAGATTGCATCCTTAATTTGTACCTATGTTTTTAAGGCGGTAAGGCGAGGCGAGGCGCTGGGGGGGCGCCTCACCGCCTAAGCGCTAAAGCGTAAGGCGAGGCGACGCCTTAGACACGTGCATATATAATATATGGCAGCCAATTAGGAGATTTAACAACTAGCATTAACTTAATAAATTGTACATACATATATAATAGATGGCCACCAATTAGGAGATTTAACAACTAACATTAACATATAAACTGTTACCAAAGCATAGGCCTCAAATCATCTTGTGTATATGACAGAACGGCGCCTTTGAAGTTCAGCTTCATCCTCCTCATCAATATATCGCTCCATAGGTTTAAACTTTCTAGTGTTTAAGGAATTGTGCATCTCTATCCTAATCTCCATGGATGCCTCGGGACACTTATCCGCATCACTGGAACCCCCAGAAAAGTGCTGCTTTAGCCTTCTCACTCCACCATGGACTATCTTGCCACACAATGTACACTGGAGTAAATCTTTCCTCTCTAAATCTGGCCAGAACCCATACTTCCAGGCTGGATCATCTGATGTAGCTCTTCTCCTAGGATCATTGGCTAGATCCATCAGAGCAGGTACACCTGGCTACTGTCAAAGAAAAAGAGAGAAGAGCCAAATCACTAGAGCAGCCAGATCAAGCATGGGGAAGGAGAGAAGCAGTGGTGGGGCTGCTGCCTTGTGGGTGGAGAAGCAGATCTGGGAAGAAACAGATGCAGATGAGGAGCGGGCAAGCACATCTAGCTACACTGCTGTGCATAAGAGAGGCAGCACCTAACAGTTAGTAGAGGAGCTGTGCATAACAGAGCAGGCAAGCATGGCAAGCTACACTGCTGGATGGAAGAAAGAGGAGAGGGGGAAAGGGGGGAGAAGAGAGGGCTGAATTCATACCTTGATGTGGTGCTGATCTGCTGGAAGAGGGTTGCGCCAGAGGAGGATGGGGAGGAGCTGCAGCCAGAGAGGAGGGGGAGGAACTGTGGCCGGAGGGAGGAGGCTGGCGGCTGCCGCAGATCTGAGGAGGAAGCCTCCGTCAATGGTCCAGAGAGGAGACAGGAGAGACCTCTCGCGTCGATTCACTCTCTCTTTCCCCTTCTCATAACTGGTCGCACCTGAACCAATGTTTCCCGCGCCTGTGTTCCCGCCCAGGTCAGTTTTCCCGCCTGCAATCTCTGTTTCCCTGCCTGACAAGCTAAGGCGTCCGATTTGGTCTGAGGCGTGCAAGGCGGCGCTAAGGCGGACGCTTCAGACGCCTTACAGCCTAAGGCGGACGCCTTACACGACTGTCTAAGGCAAGGCCGACGCCCTGAGCCTGGAGGGCGCCCTGACGCCTAGGCGTCGCCTAAGCGACGCCTTACGGACGCCTTAAAAACAGAGATTTGTACATCCATGTTCTTGCACTGTTTGCAGATTTTGGTCTTCTATATTCATCTCTTGTTGATTTTTCTAAAGCAAGATGTATATTTGTACAGGTTTCTCCTTGCCGTCGGTAGCAGCGGTGAGCATAGGGGCAGCGGTCGCAGTCGCCTGCGGAGCACAGCGGCACGTGGGCTGGTCTTGCCGCCGCCAGAGCAGAGCGAAGGGGGTCGATGCAGGGTCAAGGAGGGGCACGAGCGAGGGTCATGCCGCACGGGGAGCGCACGACATCCAGCGAGAGAAGACTTTTCCTCTTCCTGTGTCGGTGTGCACCCCTCATTGCCGCCCTGCTCGTCCTCCAGTGAGCCCTCCTCCTCTCTTTTTCCTCCCCTCCCAGCCCTCTTCTTTTCCTAACTGCTTCTCCTTTGATCTCCCCATTTTTAGTTTCTCTTTATGCTCCATTTTTAGTTTCTCTTCATGCTTTTATTTGTTGTATAGGATCAATGAAACTTGAAAGAATGGTTGATTGTGTAGGATCAATGAAACTTGAAAGAGCAGTGGAAGAAACGGAAGCATGATGTTTTGGGTGTGCACACATGTATAGTACTCGCATTTTCAGATGATTGTGAAGTTTATGGAAGAAGCATATCTGAATGCTTGCTTCAAGTGTTTCTTGCTCTAAACATGGTAACCCATGTCCTTACATGCAAGAAGCTGCTCTCAGTTACTTCTTGGCAAATGATCAGTTGATTAATTTCTTATGGCATATTATTTTTTACATGGAACTAAAAAGAACACTGGTTTTCTGAGAAAATAAGATTAGGGAAGTCACACATGTTGTTTAAATCAAGATAGCATATATGTAGCTTTACTTGCTATTTTTGCATCATGGATGCTGAAGTTCCTAGAGGTAAAGCAGAAACTTGATGCCATGTACAGCCGTGCAAGTGTGCTGTCTGATGGTCTTTAAAAATTTCTTATAGACGAATGGCTGGACTAAAATTTTCAAATCGTAATAAGCACTTGTTTTCTACAGTTGGTAGCATATATATAGCTTGCGGAGATTTCATGTAATAGACATCTAAGTTAAAACTCAGGAATCATATTATAGTCACGTGTTCATTTCTCTCCTTTTTATTTTGTCTCACTCCTGCATTTAAGCATAAGTTCAGTTTCATTTGCTGAAGTTAGCTGCCAGAACTTATAGTTTCTTCCCTTAGGTTCCCCTAAGATAAAAAACATTGTGTTTTGAAATAGTTTTATTTAGAATATGTGTGATACACAAATGATTTTAACATGCTTCTCACTCTTGTTAGTATGATGATCCATACATGGTGCAAGCATATCAGTTGGAGCTGTGGTGTACCTCTGGATGAGTATACTACTGAGAGGGTTTCAGAGAACTGAAAAAACTATGCGTATGTGGCTGAACAAATGCCAGTGACCATACATCTCTTTGCCAATTGGATACTAGCAGCATATCAAAATGAGCAGAGGAAACAACACTGGTTTTTGATAGATGTATGTGTCTGTGATTTACTTGCAATGTTGTAACTTGCAAAACTGTTCCTTGCAATGCTGAAATGATTTCTCAAAACATGGTAAAATTCACATTCTAAAAACTGTAGGCACACTGAGTGAAGCATATATATAATTCTATTATAACAGAAGTGAGGTGTATATATATAATATATATATATATGCTTATAATATGATTTTATTAGAACAGAGGTCAGGTACTGCCATGACGTACATTGCGATTTCAGTTTTCATTAATGTCGCAGTTTTTATTTTCTCACTGTAGCTTCATATAAAATTAGTGTTGACATGCTCATTTTGCAGAATGAGTAAAAATGGTAGGTTGGTAGAATCATAACCTGTGACTGTGTGCCTTAAGAAGTTCTTGCCATTATCGTTAAATAATATAATGTTTAGGGCCAGTTTAGACGTGTCGACGAAAAATATGAGCTGCATCATCTATCAGTCCTAGAAGCTCTGATCTTCGTCTGGCATTGAACCGAGCTCATCTGTCTGGGTATGGCCGTGCCGTGTGCCGTGTGCTGCAGCTGGGCAGCGAGGACAGGCGACCACAGGCAGATGGCATCAGTGGCAATGGCAACATGTGCGGTGCACAGCGCGAGGAGTTCAGTAAGGTGGGCACTGCCTCCCCACCGGCGTTCCAGGACGTGCGACCCTGAGCAGCTTTTGAGGAGCTTCCCCTCCGCTCCTGCTCTTTCTCTTGTCAATTACTACATATAAATGCACTTGATCGGTGTTGATTTTTTTTGCTATCATCATCTTCTCTTGAGGATATTATTGCCTTTCTTGGAGATTATAGTGATGATAGAATTCTTATTCCATATTATTCATCATGCTATATAGTAATGCAATGCATTCTTTTTTTCCTTTGGATGATTTTTCTCGAAGTAACTTGGTCAATAATGACATTTTTATATGCTGCAACCTAGAAGAAACAGCCACCAATGGACAGGAATTCGTCACATTAAGTGGTCTATCTCTTTCAGTCCATGCCGACGAAGCAATACAGAAGCATCCTCATGCTGTAATAACTACATCTGGCTTTTATGTTTGTTAATGGATTCCCCACCAGCAGCAAAGAACTGTTTCTTTTCCAATAGCTACTTTTTCTTTTCTTCCTTTCTACTGTTTGCAAATGTCCTGATGTTTTTATGTGCTATGTTTGGGTGTTTAACTTGGCAAGAACAAGCATCTGGAGCGAAGCATGAAGCACAAGCTTCTCGAGGTACTTCATTGCATAGTATGCAACTTTCAGAGTTCTAATTTGTCTCTGTTATAACCGATTTAGTTTGATCGATTTAAATTTATTATTCATGCATGTATACACAAATTGCAGGGAGTATTAGTGCTTATGAAACTTGCTTTTGGTATACTTTATTTTCAAGCTTCAAGGTGTATTAATTATTCCACTTTTTATGTTAGCTGTCTGTACTTTTTCCGTTGTTTTCATAATAACTGGAAAACTAATTTGGTATCCTTATTGTTATTACTTCTAGATGTTACTGGAACTGAATTTTGTACAGAATATAGTGTATTGTAGCATGTTGCAATGCAGCCTTCTCTTTTTGTAATAGCAATTGATTATGTTTTTTAATTCACCGGCTGTGCATAGTTGTTTGTTTCCCTTTCCTATTTGAAGTTCTGTCTGTGTTTCATACTTTCATTAGAAAAAGCGGTTGTCATTTTGGGCATGTAGTTATTGGTCCTTTATTTCTTGCTTGTTTAGCTTCCATTTACTTTTCTGTACGCATTGGGCGTGGAGTATTTGGGATCTTCAGTGAAGTGTAGTATATTGTACTACCTGGATTAACCCTTAATGCATATGGTTAGATTTTATGTCAAAGCTGGCAAGGCACTGGCTTTAGTTGCTATTACCAGAGACTAGCTGTCAGGGATACTTTCTTGAACCTTTCTTTTCTTGTCGCTGTATTGTAGCATAAAAATCTAAAATGGGTCCATCCATTCATTACACCATGTAGTTGATGTGTGGCCCTGTATAGAATGCAGATATGCAACTTCTCTGAGTTCAGATCTGTACTATAAGTGCGTTATTTTAATTAAAACAATATGTGCCATGTGATTATGTTACATGACGGTATGATCCAGAGTTCAATTTATGATTCTTCCACGATGGAAACAGTGATTACCCGTTCACAATCTAAGTCTTCCTCAAGTAGTATGGATACAGTGCTGCCAGGATATTAAGTATATTCATGAAGTTGTGCAAAGTTTAAAATTGTTGTGGTATCTCGCATTTGTCAAATCCTCATATGTTGCTGGTGGTCATGCTTATGCCCAGGATATTAAGTAAGCTTGTGCTATGCTGTTACTAAATAAAAGCAATGTTCAGACTTATCTTTTGTTTGCTCTACTTAAAGAGTCCAATGTTTTACCCAGAGGGAAATTATATGTTTCCTTCTTACTGCTGTCTCCCGTGTGATGCCGAGAAAATCACTGATGTTTTTGTTTTACTTGGCCTACATTTTGGTTTTCAAATAGTTCTGCCTCTCAATTTGATATGTCTACTTCCTTTTGCTTAGTAATATGATGTGTTGTTTTCTAGCTCTAGGCCTACTTGTGTTCAAGGTTCAGTTGATTGTGTTTCTTAAGGGTGTTTTTTTAATTAGTGGCATCAATATGTGGCACTAATTTCATTGTGCATTGTACTGTGATTTTTTCAAGCAACACCATTATGGTACTTTTTTTAATTCCATTTCAAGTTTCACTTGATCACTAGCCTCTTTGTTCTCTCCTCGTCATCATGGCCTTTCTTAAGGGTGTTCAGGCATTTCTTTTCTTCTGTAAATTAGTGGTCTTCTATTCGTGTTGCGAACCCCAATATGGCATCTCACCATTCCCCATGATCCACATGCTAACTGTGGATTTATTTAATGGTAATATGATATTAACGGCCTTTTCTTCAGGATAAGCTGACACCTAATAAGGATGAGAACAATGGAGATACTAAGAGGCAACCTTTTGGGGTTAAGGATATAAACAACAACATGGCTTATGAGGCCGAAGAGAGCTTGAGTGGCGGCTTTTGGATCTTCAAGCCCTGCACTTTCCTGGTGGAGTGGCAGCAAAATAGTTCAGAGGCTTTAAAGCTACTGCACTTTACATAGTTAGGATCAATTCTTTGTTTTGGTTTGAAATAATCCCCAGTTACTCCTATTTGATTTATTCATATGATGGACATTTTGTCATGCAAATAAACAGAAGGCATATGTATTGTTACAAGTGAAGCCATCCATACAATTCGAGATATTAATAATCCCATATGTGGAATTCAAGATATAGAGAAATGTTATTCTTCTTCTAATTGGTTGCTTGACCAAATGTACTTCAGATGATCTTATTATTGTTCAATATATAGAGAAATGTTATTGTACTTCATTGTAGTGGATGATGTCCATCCTAATTATTGAGATGATGGAAGTACTATTGAGGAGTTTTGTCTCGGACCGAACAAAACTGCCGAGGAAGAAGGGATAAATAAGTCGCTCGATTCATATATAGAAGGGTCTAAATTCTTACCATGTGTACTTGCTCAAATAGAAGATTATTGAAAAATACACATATTTTCAATGAGATGTGATTTTGAATGAAACTCTACGCTACCAAAGTAAAATGTGCATGTACATCTTGTTGTAGACAACAAACCTAATTTTCTGTTGAAGGGGGTTAAATTTGTTAACGTATGTGCATGCTCACAACTATACAACAACTAATACATGTTCTTTTCTACAATGCACACATGGATTAAAAAAGATACACGTATTTTCAGTGCATGATATTGAATGGGACTTTGTGCTAACATATTAGAATGTGCGCATACATCTATTGTAGACAGCAGGCCCCCATTTTTCCCAACAAAGACAGATTAAATTTGTTGCCACATGTACTTGCCTGTATTTTTTTAATTAAACCATGGATTTCTTTTCATCGCTAACATGGAATTAGCAGGTCTCTGCGCTATTTGGCGCAACGGGTCCACTAGTTAACTACACTGGGTCTAGGCCAGTCCTTCAGTTGTTGGGCCGGTTGCACCAGCGCGCCCATGTAAACCATCGACGTACAAAAAATATAGCCCATCCCATAGTATTAATATTTGTGGATATTTCATGTTGAATAGTCCCACATGGATCAAATCAAATGATTGCCACCAATTTAAATTAGTTTAACAAGATTGCCTGGTGTGAGCTAATTATACGGGATCCTACATGCAAGATGAGAAGTGCTTTGCAGGCTGCATGATACAGTGAGCTAGGATACTTACAAAGTGGCCTAGGAAGTTGTGGCCCCATATGTGCATGCATGCAAGACGCAACAACAAACTTCAACAAATGTTCGATGTCGCAAACGAACTAGCCGAAATGCGCTGGTTCCAGTAAAAAAAGAAATGGGAGCTAGCGAGAGCTTGTTGGTTGCAGAGGAGAAAAGAGCGGCGGTGCTCATCGCCGGCTGCGCGCGGACGATGGCGAAAGAAAGATGGGTAATGGGTCCGATTGCGTTGGAGTAGAAAATGAGTGGAGCAAAGCAACAAACGCGATAAGATAAGACTGGTCAAAGCGGCCCTGTGTCCAGGGCCCATGTGTGGACGTCTTTGGAACGCGCTTTCAAGATCTCAACTCGCAACAATGATTGCCACATTATAAACACGGTTAGGCGTTGCATTCTTTAGCAGGACGGTGTAAGGACATTTTTTTTCTCCCGTTACAACGCACGGGCATGTTTTGCTATATATATAATCTCTTCCTAATAATAAAGCACGGATTGACTTTGTCGGGTTCACCGTCACAATACATTTCCGCCCAGTCGTAATACGTTTTTACGATTCGTATAGACAAAATCTTAATATAAACCAGGTGGTACTAATTTGGGGATGTTCTATATACGTGCATATTGTTTTCGCATGTTGTCCAATATTGTTAGGGCGACGCGGGCCGGCTCGGTCGCGTGGAGGTGCGGCTGCTCGGCGAGGCTTCTGCGGGGGCGCGGCTGGTAACGGTGCGTTGGCGAGGCTTCATCGAGGGAGCCGCTGGCGCTAAGGGGCGGCGCGAGTGCTCCCGGACTTTGGGCCACGCACCTGGATCTCGGCAGGCCGACGGTGACACCATGCATGCATGATGCATGCATGGATGGATCAAGTACGCCGGCGGTGACCTTGATGGCCAACAAATTAAAGACAGGATCTTGAACCCAGCAGCTAATGTATGTCATGGGGTGGATCATGGAGCCACACCAGGCACCAGCGCATCCATGGGTGCGCGCCGTACAGCACGGCGGCCGGCACTGTCGACCCAAGGTACGTACCTGCCGGCCGGTCGTATGTCGTGGCCTTTGAAGATTGAACCTGTCCGTGGTGGCGAGCACTGACCACGCACGTCAACGCCGACGCCCAACTCCGAGAACGCAGCCGACGTCGATGTCCAAAGACATAAATATAGGAGCTTGAACCCGCTGGGTGATGCTCATGGGGGAACGACTACAGAACCGCCGCGACGGACGCATCCATGGTTGTCGCGCCAGCCGGCCAGCACCGGCGACCCAAGTATGGTTGGAACGTCGTCGTGTCGAACCGCATAGCCGGCGAGCGAGGTGGATGTGAAGAGCCAGCTCCGGCAGAGAGCGCGAGGGGATGAAGCTGGCGGTCTTGGAGTGTTGATCCAGCCGGCCTGCCATGTATTGTATAACACTATAACCCTTGAAGAATCTACGAAAATTAGTGTCCAAGACTTGAGGAGGTGATTCACCGTTGGATTCCTTGTGTTGTTTGAAGAGAAGAGAAGAAAAGAAGAAACGAGACGAGATGCTTGGGTTGGGCATTGTGCAGGCGGACCGCACGATGGAGTGCACGGGGGTCGTCGCGTGTCAAACAAGTTGTTGTGCTAGCTAGATCCGCATGTTCTCGCTCCGCAGTCGCCAAATCCAGTCGAGATTGACAGGATCCACTCTCGGGCAAGGTTTCTCTCTCTGTAAGTCGCTGTCACGACCCAAGGAAACTCCTACGAACGGAGTACATGTCGGCGGCCTGCGGGTCGGCGGATCGGCTCCGGCCGCCTCCACCGTCACCTCCTCCTCCATGAACTACACATCCCGGACGCCCAAGGTGATCGCGTGATGTGAGTGCGTGTTGGTGTGTGCTTCTCCCTTTGTACTGTTGGTCATGGGGTGGTGTTGCTCCTCTCCCTCTCTCGGATCAGTAATTGCATTATTCCCAAATAAATGTGTGCTTTTGTTCATATTCTGTCTACAGCATGTTTGATGTTATGCTTATGAGGAGTTGAACTTCATTTTTTTCAGGTTCTTCTTTGGTGTATCGGCCCCGGTGTAATTTGTTTTCAAAAGTGAGCTTGTTGTACAGTCCAATTCATCTAGGAGAATTAACTTATGGAGAGTTGTTCATGATGTTGCTTGCATTTTTTTGTCTAATAAATTGGATGCTTAAATTTTGGATATAAACATTGAGTAGGTGCTGAAATGTTTTGCTAATAATAGTTTCCAACTTGCTTTTAGCAGAACTGCAGAACTATAAAATATATATCAAAACTATTGTAGCTCAATCAATTTGCATATTTTAATTATGTGTACTCAATGGATTTGGTTTCCAGGACATGGACTTAAGATCAAGTTGGTTTATGTGTTGATGTTCTTCGATAGAATAATTGTTCTTCTCCTTTAACATGATGCGTCGTTGACTTATTCTTTTAGATGCTCACATACACACACAAACGACATCCAGTAAGCGCTTGGAACACCCGACGGATTGAAAGCATAGAAGCAAAGATTTCCAATACGAGGCCACGATGCCCCGACAGAGATGTAGCCAATATGCGCCCAATCCTTATTTCTTGATGTTGGAACAACAAGTAAGAGCATGTTCATGTTTACTTATTATGTTTTTTGAGAAATTTATGGGATTTACAAGCTGAAATTATCGACTGCTTCAAAAGATGTTTTAACCAAAACTGTTTGCATGATATTTCCCTGATTCTGCATTCATGGAATTGCTAAAAAAATGAACAAGTTCAGTGATAGTTTTGTTCCTATTAATATTTCGTCCAAGGTGCTAGTTTGTTTCTTCACTTGATGATCTCCTAATGTTGAACTATCCATGTACTTATCTTTAAAGTTCTGTTGTCTTTCTAATTCTCTATCTAATAATAAAGCACAAGCTGCTTCTGCCTGTCTGTCGCACCTTTTTGCAAAAATGTTGAACCGTTATTTTACATTTTTCAAAAACTCCCTAGCCTTTTAGGTAATTCATTCGCGGATCATATTTAAGTGAAACAAATGCTTTTCTAAATTATCCGTATCTTTTAAACCGTAACTCCGATTTGAACATGTTATATATGAAATTTGATTACAAAAATATGTAGAATATGAATATGAGATTATTTTTACATGTTAAGTATTTTATGTATTATTTTGGAAGAAATTTAAGTCAAACAAATGATTTTCTAAATCGTCCGTATCTTTTAAACGGTAACTCTGATTTTAACATGTTATATATGAAACTTTATTAGAAAAATGTATGGAATCTGAATATGATGTTAATTTTATCTGTTAAATATTTTTTAAATATTGTTTTGGAAGCAAACTTATAATCTATAGCACGATCTGTTTTTCTTTCGTGTCGGAGGTGATCCAGATTGCAAATAAACACCAACTATAACCATATAGGGAAAAAACATCGATTACTACACATGCATACCTCTAAAAAACATCACTAGAAAAAACAACAGATTTTTCATCGTGAGAGAGGGAGAGGGAGAGAGAGACGCCTTAGGATTAACCACATTCAAACATGTTTTGGTTTGTGCGAACACTGAGGCCACCACCGGCGAGGGTGAGAAGGAAAATAAGCGGCAACAAAAATATGATGCCTCGCTAAAATAAAGGAGATGGGCCTATTATGGTATGGTTGCTGGGTTAAGAGCGTGCGTTATATTTTTTTTCTTCCGTTGCAATGTACGGGCTCTTTTGCTAGGAGAACAATTGTAATGTGGTATGCCATCCAGGAGCTCAATGTGTTAGGTTCTGTCCACGAGCTGCAAGAACTCGCTTAGTGCTTGAGGGCACCTGCTATGCGACACTTGCCACCATCCGTCAACAATGGCTT